ACAGTGAGGGTGCCAGAGCCCTGGAACAGGCTGCCCAGAGAGGTTGTGGAGTCTCCTTCTCTGGAGATCTTCAAACCCGCTTGGACGCAGCCCTGTGCCACGTGCTCTAGGTGACCCTGCGTGTGCAGGGGTTGGACTGGATGATCCCTAGAGGTCCCTTCCAACCTTCAGCATTCTGTGATTCTATGATTCTATCATCAGTTTGCAAACTATGATGATGTGGCAGTGCCACTTCACACACAGGGAACAAAACATAATAAAAATGACTGGTAATTATGATAATTCATCTTAAAACTTGCTCACTGCATCTAGTGCAGCACAGCATGTACCTGCAAAATACACCTGGACAGAAGATACCGAGCTTTGTGTCACACAATGTTGGACTCCAGTATTTTGGAAAACCTTGTTCTGATTATTTCAAGACTCAGGGCTTCATCTTGTACTTTTTATCTACTGTAGAAACCAATTTTAAACCCCAACAATGCTGCTCAACACCACCAAAGGTTTCCAATTTCAAACATGGGAAGCAGCTGATTTCCCCGCACTCAACTGCTCAATAAAACAGATTTGTTCTTAAGGAATTCACCTGAGCAGAAAAATGAAATGCAAATAGCACTTGGAAAATGAGTAATTACTTGAAAAATATAGTATTAATTATGGAATAAAAATTAAAACACTTGCACGTGGCTCTGCAGCTACACCACAGCGTTATACCAACCACCATATGTCCTTTTCTAATATAAGTCAATAAAACACTAGTGACCAGTATATTCACTCCCACTGACAAGAGTGCATTTGATTTAGTGAGAGGAATATTCCCTCCCTGTGAATCATTCACCTGCCAGGTGACATGAGGAGCCACATTAATCCCCAACCTGATGCATTTCCTGCCCTCGGTTCTTACCTGGCAGGTCACCACCGCTGCTCATTAAAGGCAGACGCTTCATACTCCATTTTTGAGCTACTTAAACAAAACCGACCAGAATAAGCACCACCAACGGTGGTGATCCCATTCTCAAACCATCACAAGCACAACCTGGGCCTTCGTTTCTGCTCTGCTGTGGACGCTGGTTTACAAATCACGAACATTTTGTGCTTCCGTGTTGGTCTAAAACGTGGACTAATGCCAAAGGGCCTGCTCTCACATCCTCTTTCAACCTCAGCGTGACCTAATGCCCCTTCACTGCCATTTTCTTCAGAAGTTTTGCCCGTCTCAAAGCATCTTCCCTCAGCAAAGAGTCCAGAACAACTTCCCAACTTGCCTTTGGAAACAGGTAGCAGGATGAAGCCAAGGTTTGAAGGAGGACGACAACACACTGGCCAGGACACAGCCACCTTGGCCTCCTCAGTGCTCAGGATAGGTCTAATAAATAACACTTAACTTTTCCCACTATACTTGGTGTGCCTACAGTATAACTGAAACTGCTTTTATAAAAAAATGTAGTTTCTGATTTGGTGAAATAAATGGAAATGTTTGTTCCTCGCAGCAGTATAATTTGATCCTTCGCTTTCCCTTCCACTAGATTATTTTCAGAAACTTGACATGAGGCTGAACTTGTTCTCAGAATGAAAAAATGCTGAAAAACCCAGTTACGAGCGTGGCTCAGTTTATTGGAATTCCTCTGTATGAGAGGAAAACCAGACTCGGACTTGCCCTTAGTGCAGAAGCCAAGGAAACGTGAGCAGAGTTTCAGGCTCTGCTTTGGGCTAAAAACATATTGCCAAACTGCTGTCTCTTGATGCTCATCTATTGTGTCCCGGTTTGGCAAATTATACACATTTTCTATGATGACCCATAACTCAGGCTTAAAAAAAATAAAATCAAATAAAAAAATCAAATCCCACTGAAATCGGCTGCCATTTTTGCATATTTAGACCTCTTGGACTGTGAAACACACAGTATTTGCTCAGGTTGTCTGGCCTACTACAAGTCTATTCAACTACACTTGGTTATTCTGGTGTTCCTTAAGGCTAAAGAAGGCAACATGTTTCAGTATCATAGTGAAGGATATCTAGCAGTTTTCTCCAAAAGAAATATCACAAGATACAACAAATCAAAAGCATAAATAGAAAACACCTGAAAACAAACTACTCAAGGCTGATAACTGGAAGTATAATTAACCCCAAATTTTACAAATGTTTTTTTTTTTTTAAAAAAAAGATCAATGTGCAGGGGCAGAATAAAGAAAATATTTCTATTCTTATATTTAAAAGTTTTAGTTCCCAGACTTGTTTTCATATTTTCAATTTTTAAATATAAATTATTCTAAAAATTGTAAGAAAACAAATCTGGTTAACTTCTGATCATTTTATTTTATGCTGATGTTTCTCAAAACCATTTCCATTTTAATACTGCAAAAGAAAAATGCAATATATCCACATTATTTTTTAAAAAGAATAATTTTAGTTGGTATTTATTATAAACAAGCATGAATATCTCAAATAGCACCATCAAATCCCTGTCATGGATGACATAATATATTTTCTCTATGCCTTACTAAATTGGGAAGTCTGTTTCCTGAGAGAACATCTGCATTCAAGTTATCTTCTGCCTTTTTTTCCCTCCATTAAGGGTAAAAGTTGCATTTAAGCAGTGCAGCCTCCAACACAGAGGCGCCGGCGTTTGCCGCAGAGCTGGCGCCAGGGGAAGGGCTGCACGAGGTGGGATTTTCCTGCCGCTTTAGAATTCACTTGAGAGGTCGAAAAGATTTCAAAACATTTATAAATTCTGCTGCATCTTACAAAGCCATCAGTGTACCAGGGACATCCTGATGTAAATTGCTTATGTTAGATCATTTTGATTGTGCTTTGAAAGCATCTGTTGTGCAACAGCACTGCTGAGTTTTGAATTCACAAACCTGCTTAATAACTGTGTTTTCTTCTATAAATGCTTTCCTTTAGGTTTTAATCTACTTCAGAGCATTGGAATGTACATATTTTTAAATAATTCTGCTTTAAAATTTATGTCATTCCTATGATTTAACGTAGCATATTCACATGAGACTTAGACAGAGGTGTAATTAAAAATAGGTGTTCATCAATGTATCTTCTGTTAAACAGTCAGTAGAATCACAAAATTAAAGGCTATTTGGGCTCCAAAAATGAGAGTTTAAAACTTAGTTTTCATTAATTTCAGTCTTAACTGGTTCATTGAACAAAATCCTAAATCTCTCGGATCAATTAAGTCGCTGTATAAGTGCACAGCATAAATCAAGCTATGAGCTTTCTGACAGGATTTCATGTTTTAAGAGATTATCGGTGTATTTTAGAAATTCCCAAGAAATCATATTCTGTAATTTCTAAACACCTACATTTTGCCATTGCTTTGCAAAAAACAGCTTTTGAGCTCCCCAATTCATAAATGTAATTAAATAATTACATTAGTGCTAATTAACATAAAACTGCAGATTATTTAAGCGCAAAAAACACTATTCAACTTCTTAATTATTCTTGTTCACACAGCATTTCCTTTTGCTCAGGCGCCCTAGGTGCAAATAAAGCATCCCATCTGCTCGTAATTAGAACTAAATAATTTCAGAGAATGTAGCTTATCATTTTGACTGCACATTTGATTAAAAACAGTGTACAAGCAATATCCTGCCTTATTGCTGCAACAGCAACAACACACACAGGCCCATGTTTTCCTATCATTAAAGAAGACTGAAAACATTATCTGTTATTTCAGGGGGAAAAATACAACTTTTTAGTTCATTTCATACAGATGAAAGCAAATTACAGCAAATCACCTCTCCACTGAATAGCGGCCCCCACATAATGACTTTATTTGCTTAATCCCCAAATTAAACGCCGTTTCGAGCGAGGGCCCTGTGTTATTACTCTCATCATGTCGAGAACATTTTCCTGCCGAGACCAATTTGAATAAAACAAGGGGCCTTCCTTGAACTCAATCAAGGAGTCATAATGTGGTGGGTAATAGAGGTTGCTGATAGATTTGCAGGCAAAAGTGTTATACCTAATGATGGGATATGGATAATAGTCCTCCTGGAGGTCCTGATGCGATTCCAGTTGGCTGCCAGATGCTAAAAATCAAGAAGAGCATTGATCAGTGACAGGAAGCTGTAGTGGATTCATCTAGTCAAACTTCAGCTGTTTTTCCACTGTACAGTTAAGCCAGGCATAAATTATATTAATTGATTTAATTACATACTTAAAACATCTTCCCCAATTAATTTAATTAGGTGGCTACATGAAGCTACTGGCAGGGGAAGATTAGAGGCTGCTCACTTAATTAACAGAATATGAATGAAAAAAAGAAAGCAAACATAAATGAAATTGTGAGCACTAATTAAGAGGCTGTCTGCAAACTTAAATACTTTCTGACAAAGTGGTGACAGCAGTGTAGACGAGAGAGGGATTTTTTTTTCAGCAAATTAAGTGCCACAAGGTATATATAGGGACCTAAGGTAATGCAGTTAAAACATTGATTTTCTGACAGAACTACTGAAGTCAAAGTGAAGGGACATTTTCGGTAGAAACTCAGCAACAGATTTTGCAGCCACAAAGGCTGAATCGCTGATGAAGGATGAAATACGATCCTCGGACAAGTGTATGGTTAAAGGGGGAAAAAAATGGAAACAGCTTATTGCAATCACTGAAGCAAGAGATGTTTAGAGAAGAAGTGCTGCCGTAACAGCTGGTAGCACCGCACACCTTGGCCCTGATGTAAAAATTCTCCAGGTGTCTCTGACGTGATTCCTGCAGGGTCTTTTTCACACGTGCCATGTGACTGTGCAAGAGCCAAGAAATGGCAATCACACCTGATGCCCACTGCTGCCGCCTGAAACGCACATAGGCTTTTCGGGCCCGATAGCGGCGCCACGTTGCTTGGATCTTTGCAGCAGCCATTTCAGTACCACCTTGGCCTTTGTATCTTTGGCCAGGTTGATTTAAGATCTCTCTCACAACCGACTGATTCTTCATCACTGAGAGAATGTCGTTTTTGGTGGGATTCTCATTGAGTTCAAAGTCGGATGCAACTTCGGCCAACTTCTTGCAGTTGATTGTAGCCTTTGGCACAGCGTAGTCCTTGAGGAGCTTCTCGGTGTGTTCCAAGAAGAAAACAATGTTCCCCCAGGATAAACAATAACGTTGCTTGAACGCCAAAAAGTCTGGGTCTTTCTGATCTATGGTGCCGTTGCAAACAGCAATGCTACACCCAACGCGTAGGTTCCTTAAGGGCTGGCACGGAGTCGTTCTTGGGACCTGTGGAAAAAGCATAACCACTGATTAAGGGTAATTGCTATCAATGGCAAACGAGTGGTCAAGACATATTGTTGCATTTTACCCTTTACCACATATTATTGCATATTAGCCCTTACCACAACGGTGTGAATTTACATGTCTGAAACGTAGTAGTATTGATTTAACGTATATACACACATCATAACCACAAAGTCTAACCCCTACTTACCATAACACCCATTACCACACAAATACCTCAGAGGTTATGCAAGAGGCTACGAACATTCTGATGGAAATAAACTAATTGCACAAAGGAGCCATGCTTGATTTTAATCAAATATAACAACTAAAATCTTATAGTGGTATCCTTACAGTCAGCAGACCCCTCATTCCAACTGTGATTTACCTGACTACAGGCAGACTAACTACAACAGCATTCCTACACTCAGATTGCCCCCAGCTGCCCCAGTAGAAGCTTAACACCCTGCCCATTAGCCTACCCAAGGTAAAACTTGGAAACAGAAACGTTCTCAAACCTTTTTCATTAGCCAACATAGCCAGGAAATTGTTAGCTCTGGTTTTCCATCCATGGGCACTGTTTTTAAACTGTTTTACAGAATTATTAAAAACTCATTGACCTTCCATCGCCATTTTTCAAGTTATCTTTATTTTCAATTCTCAGATTTCCTTCTCTGATCTCCTCAATAGTACAGAAGTCAGACAGCCTGGAAAGATCTGGTAGAACATTCAGGTGGTCTGCAGTGTAACACTACAGCTAGACATAAAGGGAAAGAAAAGTCCCTTTTGCATGGGGATCAAGAGCAATCATCAAGCATTAAGTAGTCAAGGTCAAATCTCCCTATAATCTTCTGTAAAAGGAAAATACTACAGTTGCTTAACTGCAGTGAGGGAGATTTGAATGAGACATTAAAAAACTCTTTTTAACAGCAAAGACAGTTAGGTAGGCACTAGAACAGATGGCCTATGGAGACTGTGGAGTCACTGTTGTTGGAAGTTTTCAGAACAGGTTAGAAAAACATCTGTTGGCAATATTATAGCACAGGTAATTCTGCCTGGAGGTCTAGATAACCTCGTAAGATCCTTTTCAGACCCATTTTCTAAGACTGTGAAAAAGGCAGCCAGTTTTTAGTGGCAGAAAGTAGAAACTAGCAATATGGAAAATGTTTCCTATTTACTGCAATATTTACTATTTACTGGCTTTAGTTTAAACTCTCCTGCACCAATTCAATGACGTACAATAATTTCCTAAGATGCACCCGGCAAATACAATATTGAAAACATGAATAAAAACCTCTCATTATCCTCCCTGTCTGAATACCTGAGGGTGACAGGGAGTCTGCAGTTCAGATTCCAGCTGCTGAGCTGGATGTCTCCACATGGCTGATGATTTCCTGGATGGAGCTGGTGCAGTGTGATCTTTGGTAGAGGAACATGTGTCTTCAAGGACTTTCTTTGATTTTGGAAAGGTGAAAATAGCTGAATTCTTGGGGTCCTCTCTACTGATCTCTCCTGCACCAATGGAAAAAAATGCAGCACAGATTTCTTTGCTAAAAGAAACAAAGTAATAACATCAGAAAGATACTCCATCTCCTACCACCAGGTACTGGGATACTTCAGTTTATTCTCATATCCAATTTTCCATTGGACTTTGCAATTTGGCAATTTTCAGAAGCCATTGCTAAAACCACTGAGGAATGATATTGGGTGGCCATAAAGCTAGCCAGACTATAACAGGTTGCTATTATGAGGACTGAGATTAGGCTACAGGAAAACAAGTCACAATGTTAATATACAACATTCTAAAGTTCAGACTGTGCCATCCAACAGTATGCCCAGGACAACAATGTAAGAGTATTAATAACACTTTTACACTGTGCTATTCCAGATATAATTTTATTTTTCAACAACTCCTTTTCATTATAAGAGCTTTAAAATTTGTAGGCATTGCTTTTAGACCCTCCACTTGGCTGGTTCACCCTCCCATCCATACCAGAGATGAGTTTACCTTAAGTTTGCCTTAAGCAACCAAAACAGCAGCTTCAAGCAGACTTTGCAGCAGACCAGACTTGTGTTACACAGAGCAGATTCACTTATTAGGAGTCTCATATAGCAACGTGGGCAGACAGATTCTTATCAGCTGCTTTAAGTCATGTTTGGAGTGGTCTACACTAACATTGGTTTTATCCTAATGGCCAAATCTTCAGATTCAGGCGCTTAAAGACGAGCAACGTTCATCTGGGAACTGATCAGGATTTTCAGAGCGAACAGACACCAAATCCTCCTAGGGATTTATAAATTCATCTCCCATTCAAATGAAAGACACAGGAGCCTTATGTATATCTTGATGTATTTAGCACGATTTAGAGTTTGACCAAGTATTAGCCAGCTGCCTTCTTGGGAGATAAGAGAGACTGAAAGGGAAGTTGTACATGCAAATAATGGTTGTTATGAACCCTTTGCACTCACCTACAACTGACTTCTTGTGTTGCTCGTGGAATTCATGGAGAGGAGCTGGTTTAGCCACAACAGGAGATGACTGCAGGATTATCTTTGCTGCTGGAGGGATCAGCCTCCTTTCCGTCAGGCTCAGGATGCCTAGAAGATGATGTTATTGAATAAATCATTTACACTCCAATTATGAAATAAAAAAAAGTAACTGCAAAGAAAAAATTAGTGTCAGACCCAAATTCTTCCAATTCCAATCAAAACTAATAAAAAGCAGTGATTTTCTTTCAGTGCTGAAATTCAAGGGAGGTAAGTTTTGCCTATAAATGTTGACACATACATAAAATATACTGTAATAGTGCTGCTTTGAAGGAATAAGGACTTATAGAATAACAATTTAATATACAGAATGTATGAGAACTCACTCTTGTAAACTGTAACCTAGTAATGATTTTGGACTGGTTGGTAAAATAGTCCAAGTATAGATCTTAAGACCGAATGAGCAATAACCACATATTAATTATGGCTGTTTAATTTGACCATTTTATTTAGTCAAGAATCCTCTCTCACATATAATTATTCCTCACAGGAGAAGCTGAGCTCTGCACAACACAAGGTAACTGGCTCAGGGAGGAGGGTGCTCCACGCACCATATTGTGTCCTAATGATCTCTACTGCATGGCATACATAAGTGGTCTGAAGCTGGCCTCTACCCTTGGCAGCCTTGGAGATCATAATTGTTATATAGGTTTTGAGGTGTCGCAAAATTAATTACCAGATACATCCCTCAAACAGCAAGCAAAAACACTTCTGTAAAATACACCTGGTGTCTGACAACACACTCACCTTTCTTTACGTCATCTTCTAGAACAGGTAAAGGAGAATCCATATGGTGAAAGGCAGGCAAAACCCAAAGGTTGCTAACTGTACAACCCTTCACTATCTTCTGATTACACATCTAGGGAGAGACAAAATTGTCCTTTAGCAAACAACAGAAATCCTGAATTTGCAGAAGACAAACTTTTCTACTTAAGTAATACTAAATAATAAATACAATTTCTTCTATGAATAGTTTCATTATGGTTTAATAATGTAGCAGTACAAGCACTGATTTTACTACTTATGAACATGTCGCAGTATTGTCTACTGCCATTATTTTAGTAATTTAAAATGAAGTTAATTAAACCAAATCAATGTTTTGTGATTTCTGCTGCTCACAGGGACCACAAGAAGTTTGCTCAGTTTTAACAAGTGCAGGGTAAATACAGTATTTCTTGGCAGAGTAGCCCTTGAAATGCATGCACAAAAAGGCACCAGGAAGCAAGAATACACTTTCAAATATGTAAATAAATCTTCACTAGGAATAATATTAATAAAATTAAGATATACACAACTGCTCACAACAACTATCATAGACTTCTGAAGTTTAAATGCTCTTTTAAATGCTCTTTAATTACAATAGTGACATAGCTTGTTAATGTGATGGGGAAACATGTGCCACACTAGCTGTGCTAATGTAGGGATTAAACTTCCTTACTCTCCCAAGCAACCCTCATGTGTGAAGTGCCAGGAACTTAAGCAGTGACAAATGTGACTTTGGATAGTAACATTATACATTATATTATTAAGAATATCATCCCATATAGAGAGAATATACAGCGAAAAGAACAGATCTCAGTTTGATAAGCACCCACGAAACAACAGGAAAATTTGGCATATTTCTGCAGGTGACCATAGGCTACCACCTATTCCGCTAGTCTAATAGGAGAAATTCCTACATTAGATGGAAAGCTTTGAGCCCCACTGCTG